GGGGGGGGGGGGGGGGGGGGGGGGGGGGGGGGGGGGGGGGGGGGGGGGGGGGGGGGGGGGGGGGGGGGGGGGGGGGGGGGGGGGGGGGGGGGGGGGTTGAGAGAAAGGGTAGTAGGAGGCATTCAAGGCGGAGGTTGGAAACGGAGGTTGGAACTTGGGCAACAATTGTTCCTACAGCTGAGAGAAGAAATCTCGCATGATTTGGACTTGTACCTAACTGGTGGAGGTTCTCGGAATAGAGGCGCGGCGGCGACGAACCGACTACTCCGGGCAAGGTGGGGGTAGGGGGCTTGTATTGGCTTACCACGAAACGATCAGCGGTAGAGGACGTTGAATCAGTGGTAGAGGACAAAAAGGCCACGCTGAGAAGACAGGTATCTCCCCCCGCCCACACACCACACAATCGTACACTAATGGCCCTTCCTTCCGCACAGCACGGACGGTGCGACACGCCAAGCAACGCGGGATAATCCTTGACAAACCATAGAACGGCGTTCTGATGTTCTGCACAATTTCCAAACACAACATCACGTTTACGGTCACACAGCAGTAGTGTACCTCCAATCTCCAACAACAATATCATGATGAATACGGTCACGCAGTAGCAGCAGTAGTTGTCGTGTCCGTTTCAACGTTTTTTTTTCCCATGAGTCCTTCCTTTTCGCTAGCGTGCGCATTTCCTCCTAGCTTTGTCGAGCACACATCTCATCTACGGCACAATAGCGTCTGTCACTGATGTGGGTGTACCTCATATATGGCGAAGTCGTCCGTGGAGGTAGACGCGGCCGCCCCGAGAGCGTTCGCCCAGTTCTTCGCCTTGAGGTAGGACAGGAGTGACCCTGGACCCTCGTGGCCCTGCTCTCGAGACCAACGGGAAGGCGACGGCACAGGCAACAAGCCAACGATGAAGGGGAGGACGCAAGTAGGCGTCGCCATCGGCATCCTAGACTCCGGATCCCGCTGCAATACTAGCGAAAAGGATTGTTTGTGTTTGCCGGCAGCCGTGGCGATGTCGTCCGAGGATTGGTGCCGGCAAAGGTTGGTTTTGTTGCTGGCCGAAAAAAGGGCAAACTTCTCCCAATGCCTCGTGAGCACAAAGCGCGCTCGACCCAATCAAAACCACTCGTACGTGTATCTGGCTTGGTCCTCTCTCTCTCTCTCTCTCTCTCTCTCTCTCTCTCT